AAACTTGCAAGTGCATTCACTTTCTTAAAAAAAAGAAATATATGTTTCTTTATTTAAAAAAAAAAATAGAAATTGTCTTCCTTTACAAGAACCACAAGTTAGTACTCTTCCTTGGTTGATGACTTTTATAGCGATTGTTTTGTCGCAGAAGAATGTGGATGCTGTGCATGTTGTACATAAAAAAATAGCTTAGTGTCTGCATATCTTCAAACTACAAACCACCAAAGTAAAGTTTAATAACCTCGTGAAAGATGTGTGTTTGTACCAAAATATAACTCTGAATGGATGCAGAAGGGGGAACAGCAAATGACGAGGAAAATGGATAAACTGTACCAGAATATTGAAGTATCAAAGGCAAGAAGACAAAAAGATGAGGTAATCTTAGAAATTAAAAAAAAAACTTTTTATTATTAATCCTATTGTTCTAAGGATCAAATTTGAGATTAAGTAAAGACATACTAGAAAATGATTCACGTCCACGTGGTATAAAGAATGCTTGGCACTTATGTAATTATTTTGACATTGTCCAGTTTAAGTTTACTTGCTAGGGAGAGTAGTTATAGGCCACAATGTTGAAAATAGGGGCGTGGCCACTCACAGATCCAGAAAATACACAAAGTTTTAGAGTTTAATATATCCAATGTTTAGTTTAAATTAGCAACGTTTGCAAAACGGGCCTATTGAATAGATGCTAATAGATTTCTTTTTAAATACGCATGATTAAACCATGTTTTAGCGATGCATCAAACGTTCTGATACTTTAAATTAAAAAAAAAAGAGTACATGAAAGAGAAGAATCCTTCAACTTTAGTTGAAAGAGAAAGGCTTCAAAAAGAGACTGATCTAAAGGGCAACGGTTCACATTTCACTTACTAAGATCTGGTTCAGCATTATGTTTGGTTCCTTCTCTAGACCTATATATCTTTGAGAACATCTAAAACAACCTTTATAACTTGATTACACACGCCCTCTGTTCACACAATTAAGGACTTGATAAATATCAGGTGATTAATTAAGCGGTCTAAACAATAACGAATCGGTTAACACATAGCATTCAATGATCGTACATTCCATTAGAACGGTTTGGCATTGTCAGGGTACAATACAAGGTCAAACTCTATTGTGTAAGTTTCATGTACCAGAATTTTTTCGATAAGAGAATTTCCGTGGAATAAATGGATAAATATTGTCCAGATCAAGTAAATATTCACCTCACGTAAGGGACGTGAACAGTTCAGTGGAAGTGACGCATTAGATGTCGAAAACTATATTGTTGTCAAATTGTGTGATTGTCGTAAAACTGTGGCACCCAGGGGATACGGACTTACATTTGACATCGATTTGCTGAAACTCTTTATATGAAACACCACATAAAACAATGATATGATGAAAACTCATATTATGCATCTTTATCTAACAAGGAACCGGGTGGACGATGTGAAAATAATCGTGTTGATGATGGATTACGTTATTGTAAACAATGATTCACCGACTTATATGTAGCCAAGAATAGGTCATTGTTAAAGTAAAAAAGTATTTATTTATCATGTGTTTATTAAGTTTATCTTTAATAACAGCAGTAGTGATGTTCTAAGATATAGAATATTTTGATTCTCAGGAAACCTGAGCTTTGTTTAAAAATAATTGTTATAAAATCGGTGTTCTAAATCCACTTTGCAAAAATAAATTCAGTAAATTTCAAAGTCATAAGATGGTCCGATCCTCAGGTTCTGAAAATCAGCTTTTTAAGTAATTGAAAATGCTCACAAAAAAGTCTCTGATTTCACATAGTAACGTGAATTTACCCATGGAATTTCTTCAAAGTTCATCATTATAGTTAATCATATTATATACTAGGGAAAATTATCATATCTCAAATACATTTTCAAGAAATGCGAATAAAAACACCAGCTATGTATTTTCTAATTGGAAATTGATCAACAAATATAATTTAGGATAGAAAAATATATGTATCCAGGCATTTGGAGAAAATTGTATCTTTTTTATGCTTATACGGTATTTAAGTTCCTCTTTTTACTTCAATTGTCATATAATACATAGTGTAAAGAGCTTGTGCTATCATTGCTAGACAAGACAGATCACATCTAATTTCATATCATGCTAATAAGCAGTCGTATCTAATGCTAGACTAAAGGGAATTCAATTTCTCTATAAAAATGAATTCATTTTTTTCTTTTATGGGGTACACGTCAATTTTTTACAAGACCATTTCTAAGACATCAAAGAACCTTGAATCATATTAAGATGCATAAAATGAAAATTGTTGCACTAAAAGATATCAATTTCAAGCTTCATTTTGAGACTTTTTAAATAAAATAATAAATTTATGAGTTATCCTTCCTGGCTGAGGATCGGATGTCCTTAATGCAATAGCTTTAATTTATGTACTGAAACATGCAAAAAGAATTACTTGTGTCTCAAAAAAAAATGTTCGAGAAAATTTCGTGCAGTTTTACGTTTGAGTGAGAATATTCTACAAAATATATTTCAAAATAAAAGAAGTGCAAGAAAAATCCTTCATGAGTCTAAATTTTTAAACTTGCAAAAAAAAGTATGGAAGGCCATTCTAAAGTTTATGTCTTTAATATGTTCGATTTCAAATACCAATGCTAACCTAGTACATGTAACCTGTTATGCGCGCCCGGTCGACCCCCCCCCCCCTTTTTACACACACAGAGCTGATAATACTCGAAAAATACTGAGAATGAAAATAAAAATCAAATCTACTCAAAAAAAAATCTTATGCATGAACCACCGATTTTTGCCTTTTTCTGGTCGGGTTTTAAAAGAATTATGACAAATTTGGTTGCTTAACATGGAAAAAAGAGCGAAAAGCCCTAACTAATAATATGTACTTTATTCTATCAATGTGTGAACAATGTACTTATTTTATAACTATGTTCCTAAAATGTACTGTCTTCCATAATTTAATAAAATCATTTTAAATATGGATTCTTCGATGAATCACAGCCACATTATTGTAATTCATTTTGAAATCTTCCTCAGACAGCGTGATAATTATTGAATACATATGTAGATGTTCATCATATAATACTGTTAAATATATTTTTAAATTTTCTTTGCGTTTAGCAGAGAGCAGATCATGGTTGGTCTGAACTTGGTCATGCAGTAATGTACACTACTGCGTTTTTTCCCAAGTCCCTCAGCACATGAAATAATGCACATCAATTTGTCGACATCGCGAAGTTTGAATGCGTTTAGGGAAAAAATGAGCATAAATAATTCAAGATTGTTTGAAATTGTACCGCATATCCTGAACTAAGACGTAGCCTTGGACTTTGTTTTGCAGAAGGGAAAAAAGTATTGACGCTTTCAGTTCAATTCATCTTTCTATGACTTTAGTCCTAAATAGTAAATTATTCAGTAATGTTGTACAGTTGACTAATTGCTTTGGTTTGCCAAAGCTACCGCCAGTAACCTCGTTCAAATGGTTACAAGTTTCCACAAAAAAGAGTAAAAAGATTTATTTGAATGTCTTTAAAGAAACATTTAAGTATTCACCCACTCGTATACAAATGTTTAGAAAAGAGAAAGTCACATAGTGTACTCTTCATGTATAGCCGATTAGTTTCTTCAATCATAGCATTATATGAAAACAAGATTAGGTTAATTCTATACCAACAAAAAATGCTTCTTTTTATAACATTACAAAACAAAACTTTACAATTAATTCACATATGTAACTTCATTAAACAATTGCTGATGTTCCATCCAATTTGACAATGACAAAACATTCGAAGCGTTCAATATGAAATTTTATTCCGTAATGGAACCCAATACTGTTTCATGTCCTGCATTAAAACAATTGACCCGTATGATCAATTGGCAAGGCCTATACGATTCTTCTATTAGCTCCGGATTTACATTAAAACAGTATTCATTAAAACTAATCAATTTACAATCCTCAAAGCCGACTTTTTTTATTTTCGAAATATCGAACGCTAAAAGTACAAAATAATCATGAGACAAGATAGTGCATGCTTTTCACCATTGCTTTTACTTTTTCAACGCTTTATGAATGTCTCCCCCGTGCTACCTTACGCAGAGTGTTTTTCACCTACAATGTCGCCATCAGGAGAACTTGATCCGTGTTAATTGGTTTGATGACGTAGAACACAGAACTCCCGTTGAGCTCCACGAGCCTAAAGCTCACTTTTTCTGATGCAGCAACTGCGTGCAGTAATTTGTTTTTTTTAAAGTGCATTTAAGTAGTGTGTGTGTGTGTGTGTGTGTGTGTGTGTGTGTGTGTGAAATAGTGTGACCAAACATTTCTGGGTCTGTATTCTGTATGACGACAAACTGTTTTACACGACATGACATTACTAGCTTTGGTGTAAACAATAAACCACCGGAATACCCTGTAAACTTCTGTTCACATGAAAGCTAATTTTAGACATGTTTGCCTAGAGAATGATGGATTGATGCAGTGAACATTGTACCTACCTAACGAAGAACACCTGATTGGAAGGATTTGGTGCACTTACCTTTTTTTCATGTTACCGTCGTCATTTCAAAAGATTGCATAGTAATTACAAATGTATGAAATGATATGATAAAATATGTGTCTGATATTTCAGAGCGCTATCAACAGGTCTTATAACGGATAGCTAATTATATGAAATGCGACACTCACAGATATAATAAATATCAAATAGCATGACAAACGATGAAGTGATTTTCGATGTCTTCAGAGATGAGTTACAATAAGTATCGCCGAGATTGCAAAGCAGGATTTATGCCAGTGGTTTAGTCATTTACAATGGGTAATTGCTCAAAGGGCAATTATTTTGGTGTAGTATGCTTTGTGCACGGAAGCTGTCTACGAGGTAACGTGGGGGATCTCTCTACTTATTTATTACTCATCAGTTACCATTACAAATGTTCTTTACTATTATCCAAACAATGTTTTCCACAAGAAACATTAAATATTGCGAAATATGATATACAAAACAACCCACCTTGGTGTAAACTTTTGCCATAATAAGTTCCGTCTCAAGAATCATGATAAGAATTCCGGCCATTCCAAGAACGAGACAATAATCCGAGATCTTCCGTCGACGTTCGTACAGGGATTTTCGTTTCCCGAGTCTATATCCCACATTGGGTTTACTGTCTTTGTCCTGTTTATTTTCCACATATTTCCCAGAGTCGCCTTTGTCCACTAAAGCTGTCCCGGCTCCGGTTTCGTCATTAAAACTCATTTTGGAGGAAGTGGGAAGGGACTGCATAGAGGTCGGCTTCTGTAACTGTTTGAACGAGCCAATGGCTCCATTTACTCTCATTATATCGGCACCAATGTCCGAAATAATGTTGTCTTTTGTCGATTTGTTGTTATTTCGCGACTCTTCTTTCCCCCCACCATCCTCCAACAATACGCTTCGCGACGTATCCTCCTCAGCGATGATGGCACAATCTATTTGCGGCAACCGCGTGTGTGGAATGGAAGTATTTTGAAGACTCATCTGGGAGCTTTGTTTACCCTTCTCTCCCTCTTTTTGACTGCTATGGTCAACCCTGTCTTTTTTCTGACCTACATCAAAGCTATAATTTTGTAATTCAATGTCAGGAGAAGAATATGCCTGATTGACTCTTCCGTCAATTTCTCCATGTTCTTGGAATTTTAAATCCTGTAAGTGTCGAGCATTATGTTTGTTTTCTGTGACACTTTCTGAATGTTTATCGAGGTTGTTCGGCAATGAATTAGGACGTTTGACATTTCCACTGGTTTCATCGTTTGGATCCGCGAATGCTACTGGCACTTGGTGTATGAGCTGCTCCGTAGAATCAATACGAGTTTTTTCATTGGCTGGTTCAACCATGACGAGAGCTGACATATTCAAATACGAAGGAAAATTCAATCAAAGTATCGATCATAGAGCTGTCATTCATTCCAGGTACTACGGGGAAAGCGTGACACCAAAGATGGAACACATATCAGGCATCACCATCTCACAGTCTTCTCTCTCCATCAGCCTAATTAATCACTTTTTTATTTATTGGAGAATACCTATTACATCTGAACACATGTAAACACTTTATTATGTGAATAATTACAGTATATTATCGAGCTGCCAGGCTGCACGTTGTGTATTGCTCCAAAAAATAGAATAGAGATGGTTACATATGATGGATGCGCGTGAGAAAGAAGACACTAAGAATTCGTCAGCTTGTTAGACGCCAGGGTTTGTTGTTGAAAATCCGCATTAGAGTTATGCACACCTAGCTGGATCCCGTCTACAAAGGAAAACATTTACATAGACTTAATTCTTCTTAATATCTTGCGTCATCAAAGGATATACTAGAATATTATTACAGTTAATTTACTTTTACATTTTTCATATCACTGGCAGAATTGTATGTGTTATGAAGGTTATGATAATGTTTAAAGTTTGATTATTAGGACTGAAAGTTTCTTTTTCTTAAATCTATTCATCAAATAAAAAATTACATTATCAAAAATCACTACTATTATAAACAAAGTCTAAATTTATCAATGGAAAATGTACATTGGATAAACTGTTATGAAGCTTAATTTAACAAGTAAATATTGTTAAAATAAATATGTATAACAAAGTAAACTTTTGATTTAAACGTTTGACTGGTCCACAGAAACAATCGGCTTTCGATGCAAATTATAATTATCTTAATCCATTAAAAAAATTAGTCAATATTACATGTACTTTATATAATTGTTGTCGTGTTAGGTGGTTAATTTTATACATTTATTGCATGATAGTGAGGGAGACATGAAGATTTCTTCGCCCATGAAAAATCATATTCCCTGAGGGCAACGCCCGAGGGGAATATGATTTTTCATGGGCGATGAAATCTTTATGTCTCCCAAACATTCATGCAATAAATTGTTTATTATACCGAATCAAGCACAATGCAGAAAATCTAAAGAAAATCCAATGATTAAAGTAAACGAAAAATATGAAACAGAAGTAAGTTACACCACTAGTCGCGCTTCATTAAAAAAAAAAAAAAAAAAAAAAAAAAAAAAATTCCTCCGTGAAAAGTCAGTGTAATTTACACACCAGTAACATTAAAACCCCATCCATGAAAACACTTTTCTAAATATTTACATTTTACACGTTTAAATTGACGCAATCAATCAACGGTATAAACAATCTAACTGAGTAGTAAACTCAGTTGCCGCATTGTGACGTCATAATCGTGAAACACGAAGTTTTGTTGCAGGGCAAACACGACGGTCACGTGACTGTCTCGGTCAATCAGGTTCTATTTTACTAGTAATTATTTATATGAGGTATAATAAGATTTGATATTGACCAGAAAAAATGTTGACAAGGCGAACCATTTACAACGTTATTTCAAAAGGTATCGTTTGTGACGTCACAAGCACCGCTGAACACGCATTACTAATTGTCCGAATACTTTATTGTTTTATTTTTGTTTATTCTTATAAAAATATTTATATCTTATCTTTCAATTATAATCACAGATAATCAATTATATTAAAGACCACCCTACCCTTTACTTCCCCAACAATATAACCGTAGTTAATTGTACAAGAATTTACAATCTTATAGGAAGAAAAAATAATAAAAAATATTACCAATCATTTGACGATAAAGACAATCTAAAGACTGGTGTTAAAAATTACTTGTACGTAAGAAATTGATAAAGTAATATTTCATACACAAAGGACATATATGAATATTAAAGGTATTAATGCACGCTTTTGAAGATTACATAGATGGATAACGTAAATTGTTTCAATCGAATCAGGCATTCAAGGTATTTACTCTGTGGAATTTCTTAAAAACAACCGCAGACCAGCCTTCAAACAAAGTGCCCAAAGACACAAGAACCCTTCTACAATAATTACCATAATTACATTAACACATCGTAATATACCATACAGTTTTTTTCAATTATCTACGACTCCCCTGGGAAATTTGGTGCAAAAGCCATAAAACAAAAAAATCATAAAAGAGGTCACTTAAATTTGTCACGGAGAAAAAGAATTTTTTAAATTGTATGCAAGCAAACGAAACGATGAAAACACCATTTTCCCAGCCACCTGAACTTTTTTTGCTCACAATGACTGGTTTTTGAAATACTAATAAGTTGAATATTGAATTAATCGCCTCTTGATCAAATCCCCCTGCATTTGTATTATTAAATAGACGATTTCATATGATATATAAATGTTTCCTTAAAAATAATGTCCTTTTTCACTTCTTCTACCCTCTCTCTCTCTTACATAAAGAAAAAGATAAAAGTCAAATTAAAACTGAAGTCTAGATATGCGGCAGAACAATATTAGACCACAAATTAACTGAATAATGATAATAATATTCATAAAGAATCGTCTAGCATGCGATAATTTTGTAGAACAGCTTTGTAAGAAAAAATATACTGCTGAACTGATTTTGAATAATTTTTTTAAAAATTTTAAAATAAATATCACGACTTACCAGAATAGTGTCTGTTTTGTAACTAAGGTCCTTAAAGATATCAGTTAGGTTCTACATTAGCCGGAATATAATACCGTATCCGTTTACACAGTAGGTCAGGACAGGGGACGTAAGCATTAATCCTCAAGCATTATCTTGATTAAAAACGGTTCATCTTGGCATGATTTTAAATTTGATACTAGCTTCTTAATTTTCCGATTATGACTACAAAGGTTTGTCGTGTATTGTGAAAAACCGTTCTTCTGATGTACATTCCAAGTGTATCAAAGGTTTTAAAATACATAGATCATATTTCGATCTTAGTAGAGTCATCAAAATTTAGTTGTTTTATAAAATTTATTGTTAGATGTCCTGTAGATAACAGATTTTTTATGCTCGCATTAATCATCGATTGTCCAATTCTCGTTTATCATATTAACTCAATTTTACGTTTTTTCTCAAAGCAAGGGTTACTTGGATAAGTTTGCAGGGGGCCACAAAACCTTTCAGAATGATGTTTGAAATCTTCGTATTAGTAAAACAATGAATTTATCTGTATGTCATTATTCATAACGAACGTCTTCTAGTAAAAAAATCTATTGCATGTTTTTCATTTTTCTTAGAAAATATAATTGTACAATAATCTTTCACTTTTATATATAAAAATGCTTATTTCATTATTTGATTCCTTTTTGTTCTTTAATTCAATTTAAAATTTTTATACTATCCGTACACTAAATGCTTTAAACTGTTTATCCACATAACTCAAATGTGTTTGGTGAGCTCTCTCTCTCTCAATTTCAAAATAATACGTTTTACCGGTAAATTTCCTCGAAGAAAAAAAAAATAACACCAACGTTGTCTTGCTCTAGTGTTTAATTTATAAGTTTGGGGACGCAGGGACATTTTTTAGAGGCATTTTGAAAAAAGCTTTTGAGTTTCTTCGTTCAATTATAACAAAAAATGGGAGGCTGGGACTAACGGAAAGAAGTATTTTGTGTGATGCACAGCTAATATATCTCTATGTAGCAACATGTTTGTCAAATCAACTCCCCAAGAATCGAAATGTGGGCCTACAAGGTGGAAAATACCATTTTTCGAAGTAAACCTAAAATGCGCGGGGGAGTTTTTCACTCTTTATACACTTGATGGTTTTTTTTAACATAAAAAAGGTTCTTGGAGTTTTTTTCAACCCCTTAAAAATGACATCTACAAAATTTCATATCTAATAAAACTACAATCAAATGCTCAAAACTTCACATACACGTATACAGTCTCCATAATTTCATGTCTGGTCCATCTGGCATATACATGTATATCGAAAAAATATCGTTTTATTCGTACTCATGACTTTGAAGTGACTCTTGTCCCAAATAAGACTGAAGTATTCCACAAGTACTAGTATGTCCTTATTATCAACGCAAATCTTTATGGTGTGTATATATACTATTTTATCTGCAAGGAAAAATTTCAACGGTACGTCAGAGCGGCGATGTTAAATAGTGCTATTGATTGACAAAGCTAAACAGGGATCATTGTTTAACCAACAAGAATCTTCGTTATCGGATTTTAATTTTTGAATTATGATCCAACAAATTGATTTGTGACAAATGATGAAAAACAAAAGACGATTCTTCCCCTATAAACATTGCGATCATGAATCGAACTATTCTGCCGGTGATAATTAAACGACTGGTTGCAGTAGTTTTCCGCACATAACTTTTTTTCCTAGCGGGGAATTTTACACAAATGAAAAAAATTCTATTGAACTTAATGAAGAGCGCACTCTAACATGAATAATTGCTTACAGAATGTTGATTCTTAAATTCTTTATTCGGTGGGGGAGAGCTCCTTAATTAGCGGCTAATATGTAGTAATAAAACGCATAATTTAACTCGGCGGAAATCACAGCTTTGAGTTGAAGCATCGTTGCTATTTTCGGAATATAAAACCTGGTGATGCGTATATTTGGTAACGATTGTAGAATTACTGGATGATCTGCTAAGCCTTAGGGGTAACTGGGCTGGAAAAAACCGAATTTCTCAAGGAAAAGGTGTCATTGACGTATATTGCAGTATCGTCATAAAAGGATCTTGACTAACCATACTGACGGGGTGAAATAAAGTGCATACTCATGCAGGTGCTGAACTAAGACGAAAGCATATCCCAAGACAGTCAAGATTATTATATTCATTGATTTTTTTTCCTTGTACTAGCATTTTGCTACCCCCCCCCCCTCCTCCTTCACCCAGCTGGCGTCTTCAACATATGACCAAAGCTAAATGTCTAAGTCGTTGAAATTGATTTACAGGATAAATTAGCAGCCTATACAAGTAAATTTTCGCTCCAAAACGTCAAAAAATGATTGAGCACCCGTTTTAAGATCTTCTACTTTAAAGGTGTGTTTCATTTATTAAATATAGCCTGTTTTCGATTGATGACGAACAGAGGTAATACACCAATGCCAAGATTTTCTCAATATACAGTATTATCACGATGAAAATTTTACTGTTATAAGAAATTTTTCTAGTTTCTAAAATTAAGTTCCTGTTTTGTGTTTTTTTTTGAACAACTCTTTCTAAATTCTTGAGCTTTTCAAATCATTTTCTTTATTGAATTTACGACTCTTAATCTTTATTGAATTAAAACATCGGCGATTTCAGATAATCCAAGCCAATTGGGTTTAACACCTGTCATCGCTTGATATTGCTAAATTATCTTTATGCAAAATAACATCAAAAGGACGATAATCTGGCCCTCAATTATTTTAAGGGTTTACTCAAGTGTCAAAACCTTTATCTATTTATCTCC